TCACCCAGAGGGGAAAAAATTCAGACATCCTCTTAAAGAGCTAACACACAAAATTTCGTGTGCAGCCACTTACCCTGGGCTCCAGCAGAGGGAGGGCAGAGTGGACTTGAGCTGTGTGAGCAGAAGCCAGAGATGGGGGCTCTAGGGTTAGAACGTGGAGGGCAGACACCCAGGTTTCTAAGCTGAGTCGTTCCCTCACCTGCAGAGGACAACTCTCTCAGGCAAACCTTTGCCCCACCCTATTGGAAAACCTCACCTGTGGACAATTGCCTTCGGCTACTCAAGACTGAATACACTCAGTGTGCAGGCAGAGGCGATCTGGAGGCTTTGAGTCATTGCCTGATCTTTGCCTGAGTCAGAAACAGTGTAGCAGCCGAAACCGGTTTGGCTCAGTGGATAGAGCGTCGGCCTGCGGACTGAAAGGTCCCGGGTTCGATTCCGGTCAAGGGCATGTACCTGGGTTGCAGGCACATCCCCAGTAGGAGATGTGCAAGAGGCAGCTGATCGATGTTTCTCTCTCATCGATGTTTCTAACTCTCTATCTCTCTTCCTCTCTGTAAAAAATCAATAAAATATATTAAAAAAAAAAAGAAACAGTGTAGCAGATCTACCTAATACATGGTCACAAACCCAAACAGGCAGCCAAAATGGGGAGATAGAAAACCAACCCCCAAATTAAAGAACTAGAGAATTCTCCAGAAGAGCTAAATGAAATGGGGATCATAAATTTATCAGACAGATGAGCCACTTCATTGGTGCTGTTGACCTGCCCCTGGTTCCCCCATGTCTCTCCGCTTGTCCTGCAATGCCAGTGAGCCTGCAGGAAATGGACAAGAGGCTGAAGTACCCGCTGCAGGTCAAATACTACGTGTGGAGGTCGATAAGCTGGGCAAAGTGCTGACACTCACCCAGGTTCAGAACTGGCCCACTGGTATTTCATGGGATGGCCTTGATCCAAGTAAACTCTACACCTTGGTCTTTTTTTAAAAAATATGCTTACTGATTTCAGAAAGGGAGACGAAGAGAGAAACATAGATTAGAGAATCATTCATTGGCTGCCTCCTGCACGCCCCCTACTGGGGATTGAGCCCTCAACCCGGGCGTGTGCCCTTGACTGGAACTGAACCTGGAACCCTTCAGTCGGCAGGCTCTCTATCTACTGAGCCAAACCAGCTCGGTTTACACCTTGGTCTTGACAGACCCAATGCTCCAAGCAGAAAGGACCCCACGTTCAGGGAATGGCACCAAGTCAACAGGAAGGGCAACATCAGCGGTGGCACCGACCTCTCTGATCACATGGGCTCTGGGCCTAAGGGCACAGGCCTTCACCGCTACGTCTGGCTGGTTGACGAGCAGCCCAAGCCACTGAAGTGTGACAAGCCCGTTCTCAGCAACCGATCTGGAGACAACCGTGGCAAATTCAAGGTGGCATCTTTTTGCAAAAAGCACAAGCTCAGGCCCCCAGTGGGCAGCACGTACCAAGCAGAATGGGATGACTATGTGCCCAAGCTCTATGAGCAGCTGGCTGGGAAGTAGGGGAAAGCCAGGAGACAGACATTGCCCCAGGGCCCCAAGCAGTGTTCTCAAATTCAGTGATGCATGTTGATTTCTCCTCTTGCCTGTTCCCACTCTCACAGGCGAGACCTGAGCAAAGCTGGAGGGTAACTTATCCTTCTACCTGTCCTTTATCATTGTATAGGGTCACACATCTGGATTTGTGTTTTGATCAAATTTGAACTCCATTTTGGGGAGGCTATTTTGGTACTATGATGTGGTCATCAGATTGTTAATATAAGAATAAGAACCCAGTATTTAAAGGCGTATCCTCTGAAGAGCAGTAAGGAAACCTGCAGAGTCCCTTTGCTGTTGAGCTACAGGGCTGAGTGAGAGGTTCTCTGAAATCCGTAGTCTGTGGTGTTAAGTTTATCACTCTCCATTGGTGAAACAAAAGCCAGTCTGGAGTTGCCAAATGTGTTAATTCTGCTGTCTGATTATAGTTGAATAAAAATAAAAACATTGTGTGAACAAAAAAAAGAAAGAAATTTATCAGACAGAGTTCGGGATAATGATGGCAAAGATGCTCAACAACATGATAAAAAATATAGTAATTATGAAAACAGAAATAAAGAATGAAATAGCATAAATAAAAAACACATTGGAAGGAATATACAACAGATTAGGGGAAGCCAAGTTTCAGACCAGTGAATTAGAAGACAAGGTAGAAAAAAAAAATCACACAGAGAACCAAAAAGAAAAAAACAATTAAAAAACAGGAGGACAGCTTAAGGGAGCTGTGGGACAACATGAAACATAACAATATTCGAATAGCAGGAGTGCCAGACGAGGCAGAAAGGGAGGAAGGGATGGAGAATATGTTTGAAGAAATAATGGCAAAAAACTTCTCTAACCCGGTGAAGGAAAAAGTCACACAAGTTCAGGAGGCACAGAGAACCCCAAGCAAGAAGAACCCAAACAGGCCCACACCCAGACACATCATAATTAAAATTCCAAAAATTAAAGACAAAGAGAGAATCTTAAAAACAGCAAGAGAAAAGTAAATTTATACCTACAAAGGAGCTCCCATAAGAACTGATTTCTCATCAGAAACTCTACAGGCCAGAAGGGAATGGCATAAAGTACCCAAGGTAATGGAAAGCAAGGATCTGAAACCAAGATTACTACATCCAGCAAGAATCATTCAAAATAGATGATCAGCACTGGATGGTTTGGCTCAGTGGATGCAGCATTGGCCTGCAGACTGAAATGTCCCAGGTTTGATTCGTCAAGGGCACATGCATGTGTTGCAGACTCGATCTCCAGTTAGGGGGCGTGCAGGAGGCAGCCGATCAATGATTCTCTCTCATCATTCATGTTTCTGTCTCTCTCCCTCTCCCTTCCTCTCTGAAATTCAATAAAAATATATTAAGAAAATAAATGAAATTCAATAAAAATATACTAAAAAACTAAATAAATGGTCAAACCTTCTAGTTTCCTTTCCCCTGGGATCAGAACACTGATCTTGGTGGTCATTAAAAAAATAAAATAAAATAAATGGATGGTCAAATAAAGAACTTGCCACACACACACACAAAACAAAAATGGCTAAAGGAATTTATCACAACCTAGTCAGCATTACAAAAAATGCTAATGGGACTACTGTAATGAGAAGGAGAGAGAGAGAGAGACAGACAGAGAGAGAGAGAGAGAGAGAGAGAGAGAGGACCCTAGGCATACATAATTAAAATGGCAACAAATAAGTACCGATGAATAATATCCTTGCCCAGCTGGCATGGCTCACTGGTTGAGCATCAACCTATGAACTAGGAGATCACAGTTCAATTCCCAGTCAGGACAGATGCCCAGGTTGTGGGCTCAATCTCCAGTGTGGGGCATGCAGGAAGCAGACAATCAATGATTCTCTCTCATCATTGATGTTTCTATCTCTCTCTCCTTCTCGCTTCTTTTCTGAAATCAATAATAAAAATATATTTTTTCAAATAATAATAACTTTGCAGAAACCAAGATGGCAGCATAGGTAAACACTGGAAATTGGTGCCTCGCACAACCACTTAAAAATACAACTAAAGACAAAACGGACATCATCCAGAACCACAGGAAGGCTGGCTGAGTGGAAATTCTACAACTAGAATGAAAGAGAAAAGCACACTGAGACTCAGAGGAGGTGCGGAAGTAAAGTGCAGAGGTATGGAGGCGCACGTGGAAAGGGCTGGAAACTGAGGAAACGGTTGTCTTTTTCAATCAGGAGGGAGTCTCAAGTTCCTGACAGCTCTGAACTCCAGTTCCGGGTGAGTCTCTGGGGACCCAGACTCATAGAGGGAGAAACTGGACTGTCTGGCATCGGTCGGAACTTGAGGGCGGCTTTCTCTCGGAGGTGTTTGCAGCGATTACCAGGACACTGAGAAGCCAGGCCTCTTAGGGTAGGACTGAGAAGCAGCTATAGCTGCTTGCTCCACCCTGTTTATCCCCTGAGACCCCACCCCACCCAAGCTGTGCACAGAGGATTTTGCATATGAAAGGCCTGGCCCTTTGCAATCTGAAAATTATTTAACAAACTGCAGCTGGGTCAGAGAAACCTGGAACTTCCAAAAGAAGGCCCAAGGCCCCACAGCAGCTTGCATTGCTTCACATTTGGGTCTCATCTCGGCACCTCCAAATCCCAAACAAAGAAGAATCTGCAGATCTCTCTGTAGCTCCTGCTGGGTAGCCTCAGGAACAGGCTAAATTTGCACCTCCTTAGAGATCCAAGAGCCAGTGTACCCAGTGGTCAGACTGGGACAATCCAGATTACAACTCCTCAGATCCATAAGGCACACACTCAAGGGGCAGACT